TGAGATCAGGGGCGAATAAAGAGTGGTCCAATGGACGGCCGATATTGAATCCTACGATCATGCACCGTTCATTGGACATTTAAAGGCCTTAGTGATGTCAAAATTCTGTGATCTTGGGCTCGTTGGATTTGTCTCGTCGAGCCCTTCGATTCGAGTATAAGCTCGTCAAAATCGGAGTCCGTTTGGTAACTCAAATAGTGGTTTGAACCTTCCAACAGCGCTTCGGATCCATGATTTGGACCCATTTGGACTCGGATTGGGTCGAATTTGGTGTCGTTGGATTCGTATTTCCGAGACGCGCAGTTTGACTATAAGCTTGCTGAAATCGGAGATTGGGTGCTCCCAAAATTAATTTTTGAAGTTTCCAACTAGCTTTTGCCTCGAGATTCGTGCTCGATCAAGATAATTTTTGTGATGCGTATCACTAATATTAATTTTATTTAAATAATTTTTCATTAACTTACTTATACATACCTACTACATAGTACATACACTCATATACAGTTAATTATTTAATAATTTTTACTTATAATTTATATTACTATTCTCTAATATTTATTTTATTAATTACTATATTTTAGGCAAGTATTAAGTCGGGAGAATATTTTTATCAAACTCTCTGTCTCTCTTTTACTCTCTCTCTCTAACTCTCTCTCTACCTAAAAAATAATATTTATTGTTTTCAAACATTACATGAGGGGGAAAAATGCAATTATTTGAAATATATGAAAATAACAGCAAAATAATTTTAAACTAACACATTGCAATTTTAACAAAAGTATTTCCTTCAACAATATTAGCAAACATTTTAATGTCATTAATTCAACAATATTTGCTCTCAACATAAAAATTCAACCATATTTGCAATAATATTTCAACAATATACACATAATTGCTTGGAGTTATATATTAAAAAAAAAACAAAAAAACAAACAAACGATACTTCAAAATTAAAAGAACTAAATAAATGATATTAATACTTACCTTATTGCTTTGACGGTTGCCTCAGCTTCAAAGAGCAGAGATTTATATTCCTTATCTCCTCCTATTTATAGGCAAGCAAATGAATTAAATTATATAATTTTTTTTTTCTTTTTGGATTTTGGCTGGGTGCTTCACGGAAAAACCGAAAAACACTAGCATGTCACGAGCATGTACACCCGTGACTTTCTTCCTTCTTTTTCATCAAATTCCATTGGTTGGGAGGTCTGTATGAAGAAAACGCAAGGCACTGTCGCATTTTCATAGAAAATGCTAACCAGCTTTGCGTTTTGCATGTAAAACACACTCATCCTTTGCGTTTATGCTCCTAATACTAGAACTTTAACCAAATCCGCCCCATTCAAAAATTTCGCCAAGTTTGAGCCAGCCCCAACTCAAATAGTTAGGTGGCGAGTTGACTCGTTTAAAAAAATATTAATATAAAATATACTTAAAATATATTAGGAACATGAATTTTAAATACAAAGTTATTAAAAATATTTAAAATAATATATTTTTCTTTAATAAGTGATTATTTATTTTTTTCTTATAATTTTTTATTCTTTTTTATATTTCATTATAAAAATTACTTAAATCATAATTATTTTATTTTATTTTTTTCTCATAATAAACGAGTTGGTTCGTCTGTTGATTAGAACTCGTAGAATAAAACTAGAGCTCGAGCTCGAACACAATAAATTAATCAAGCTCAAGTTCAAGCCAGAGTCAAGCTCAAGTACAAGCCAAAAGTGACTCGAATTCGACTCAACTCGTTTACACTATTAGCCGGCTTCATTAGTTTATTAAACTGGATAAAGACAAAATAATTTAGTAAACCGATTGAACCTGTTAAATACTAGTTAGTTCAAATGAAATTATTTGTTTGGTTTCAAACTGAGAAAAAATTTAGTGTTTACTTCACTGCAGTTTTTTTTAATTTTTAAAATAATGGTCATTAAATTATCTTGGTTGGGACTTCTCATGGTGAGTATGAGTTAATTTTCTTACTGCTTTTTGAAGCAGCTTTCTAGTACAAATTCTTTAAGTTTAAAATTTTTTTGTACTAAAAATATACCTTAAAAAGTAGTTAAAAACTATATCAAACAAAGCCTTCATTTGTGACAACTTTTTTATTGCTTCTTAATACAATTTTATAGTTTAAAAGTTAAAATCTTTGTACGAGAAAGCTACTTTAAGAAGCAGTAATAAAACCATCCCAAATGAAGCTTTAGGCTTTGTTTGGGACGGCTTTCTTACTGCTTTTTAAAGCAGTTTTCTAGTACAAAAATTAAATTTTTTATAATAAAAGACTGCTTTAAGAAGCGGTAATAAAACCGTCCCAAACAAAACCTTAGTCTACTCATAGTAGAACTTTTTGTTAGTAGAAAATAATATTTAAGCCTATTAAAACAAACTCATACACACATCACATATGCAAGACTTGAATCCAAGACATCTTTGTAAGAGCAAAAGCTCCCAACCAAGATACCAAGGTGAGTTGTGTCATAGTAGAACTTTTAAGCTATAAAGATAGATTAATTGTTCGAAAAATGAGACAAAATAGTATTTTTTGTCCCATATTCTCTTAAAATTGTAACTAAAGCCAATATTTTTAGCGATATTAATGGTGATGCGGTGAGTAATCGTTGGATCGTTAGAAGAAGCAAATGCAAGAAGGATTTCCAAGAAAAAGAGAACAACCCAAGCTCAAAGGCTTCAATTCATATAATATTCATCAATATCTCAACTCTTCATACATCATACTATATATATATATATATAAATACTATATATATATTAGGTAGAAAACTAGAAAGTTCTAGAATCCTATAACAAGCTTGTAAAGAACTACATAATATTCGTCCAAGGAATGATTTAAGTTAAAATGCTCCGCATCAAATGATCTTAAAGTCACACTAAAAAAAAAAAAAAAAAAAAAAAACTACTGCTTCTATGGTTAAAAAAGTGGCTGCAACCTTTCAGGTTGCATAACTAAATGGCCTTATTTTTTAGTCAAATTTGTTAAGAAATCATAAATTATTAGCAAATTGAAAGTTCATATCTTGGAGATGTGAGACATCCCTTATATTGGAGCATCACATCTTAGAGAAATTAAAAAAAGATTTGCTTCTTAGGTAGATTGAAAAAATATATGGGGCTAAACAGAGCATAAGAAGAAGTGATGAATTTAAAAGGTGATTGGAAAGAATATATCTAATTTACATAGTTTTTCTAAATGCTAGGTCATTACCAATTCAACATCAAGGGTGAGAAGATGACCACTTTAGAGATACCAAAATTTTACATTCAATACATATTTAATGTTGATGTATTCATCTTTACTTGTAATGCACATAGGAAGGCGCTCAATGGTGTTAACATATGGAGAAATTATTGTGTGCGGAATCCGAACGTGTTCGAAGGCGAATTCAGACATGCCAGGTCATCGGGGCCCAGTGCATCTGGTGACGTGGCGCATTCGGATTCATCTCCGAATGCATTCGAATTCCGCACACAATAATTTCTCTAACATATGTAGTGTGATTGACCTTTTTTGTTTTTGGAATAGTTAGATTTCAATTTTAAGTTTCATTTAGATAGTTTTTTTATTGTTTTCTAAATCAGCTTCTTGTATAATAATTTTTAGTTTAAAAAAATCTTGTATGAAAAACTGCTTTAAAAAAGCAATAAAAAAATATCTCAAATGAAATATTAATGGATTAGATGCTTGGGTCCTAGAGCCTTAGTGGCCCAATCTTCTAAGCTAACAAATTACACATTGCCCTAGGTGATTCCTAATCAAGCTTGAAACTTGCATGTTAGGCTGGATCAATATAGGAATGCTAAGCATTTCTAGCAGCAATTTCCATAAAAAAATTATAAAATTCCATTACTAAAGCTAATTTCTTTTTTTGGAAGCGGGGCATCTATCCGTTGGCACCCCTTAGAGGAGGCGCTTGTCAGAATAACTAATTCCTCGGTGGGCCTAACGACAACCAGCCCCACAGGTGCCAGACCACGCACTTATTTTCTCCCCACTTAAGCAGTCGTGCCTCTTGAGAGAGGAATTGAACGTGGGTTGGTGGGTTCCCAACCACGCTCGCCTACCAACCCAGCTAAGCTCAATGGGGTACTAAAGCTAATTTCTAATGGAAATATCATTAAAAGCTACAAAGAAAAAAGTTTTCAATGTATTTATTTCTACCAGAAATAGTTCTAGCGGATTGCTCGTAGAAAAGCTGATGGATTAAAAACCATCACAAAGGAGGTTTCTGCCAGAATTATCAATGGATGAAAATCATCAATAATTCTATCTTATTAACATAAATGTTTGACAAAATTACTGACAGAAATATCTGTCAGTAAATTTGGTTGATAAATAAGTGGATTTATTCCATTGTTAAATCCATCAATTTTTTTTCGATGATTTCTTTCACTAATTATTAGTTAGAATGTCATTACAGACCACTTATCTATAGAAATTTGTCGAAAACTTATAGGAAACATTAAAAAAAAAAAAGTTAAGGAATATTTTACCTAATGACCTCTATTCTCAATGTGAAGAATTGAGTTGACTATATGAAAGGGGATGCAAATACGCCCACAATCAAAAGCTCAATTTCATTTATTATGGTCCATCTTCCCAACATAATTAGGGTTGCCCCAAATTATGTACAAATCATCTAGGCCAAATGTTCTCACATATCAATAAAGTTCACTCACCTAATTTATGAATATCGATGAGCATGTCTAGCAGGCGAGTCAAACTCTGTTTCTCAAATTTTTTATTTTTTTATTTTATCATTATATTGAGGGATCTATAAGCATACGGTTCAGTCACATATTGTATTAACCTATTTTACCAAACTCTGTCTATATATACACATTTATCTCTCAGAATTAATACACAGTTTTACATTTCTTTATTACGTTTTCTCTCTCTTCCGTCAGCTCTGTTCCGTCTCCAGCGGAACTCCTCCTTCTCCTCTAAACTCTTCTCATGGTATCAAGAGCCGCTAATGGGAGATCAAGAATCATCTTCTTCCCTCCCTCCCAACTCCACCACAACCACCGACATGTCCAACGACCTTGCTATTCCGTTATCACTCAAATTTCTAATCTCTAATATCAAGAACCTCATTCCCCACCCCCTTTCTCCTGAGAATTATGCCATTTGGCGTCTCCAAGTTTCACAAAACTTCTCCGCCAATGGTTACTCCGATCATCTCACCGGGAAATGTCTTCCTCCACCTGACTCCACCTCCGTCGATTCTGCTCGATGGCACCTCATCGATAGTCATCTAATCTCTGCACTCTTCTCTACTATATCGCCTCCTCTTCTTCCCTATGTCATCACCGCTAAAACTTCGCAAGAAGTCTGGATGACGCTCGAACACCGGTTACAATCCACAAGCCGATCTCGAGTTATACAACTCAAGAACGAGCTTCATCATATACAGATGAACAATCTTACTATGCAGCAATATTTGTCGCAAATCAAGAATATAGTAGACAATATCGTTGCCGCCGGTACCAAGATAGATCCGGAAGACGTAGTTCTCTACACCCTCAATGGACTACCACCTTCCTACAACTCGTTCAAAACGGCGATCCGCACTTCTCCACTACCGGCTGATCTCAAAAATCTCTATTCACTGCTCTGCAGTGAAGAGATTCACATAAATCAAGATTTACAAAAAGATCATTCAGCTCTCAATGCTACAGCCCTCTATGCTACTTCTCAAAATCAGTCCAGAAACCGTTATCAAAAACGGTTTAACAAATCCAAGAATCCTCAACCTCGGCAATCCGACGGCAGTGAGGCCATTCCTTCTCCGCCACGCCTTCTACAGCTCGCCCAACTTGCCAAATCTGTGGCAAGATTGGCCACATTGCCATTAACTGCTGGCACCGGTGCAATTTCAAATTCGCACCCACAATAACCAACGGTCCTTGTGCAATGCTTGCTCAACCGTCGCCGAACTCCTCACAGCTGTGGATCTTAGACTCTGTAGCAACCACACACCTCACCTCCGATAGCAATATGCTTCACCAACCTTCTCCTTTCACAGGTCAAGAATCCGTCACCATTGCGAACGGCTCCTCACTACCGATACAAAACTACGGTCAAGGTTTTCTTCCATTACTGGACACGCCCCGTAAGCTTCACTTATGCAATCTTTTACATGTTCCTTCCCTTAATCACAATCTCTTATCAGTCTCTAAATTAACCAATGATAACAAGATTTCCATAACTTTTGACTCTAATGGCTTTACTGTTAAGGATACGCATGACAATCATCCACTAGTTCGTGGCCAGCTACATAACGGTCTCTACCAACTACATGTTGCTCAAGACAGTCACCCGCAAGCCCTCCACACTACTACAACATCTTCGGCTACCTGGCACGCTCGTTTGGGTCATCCGAACAACCAAACTCTCCATGCGTTAGCTCAAGACATTCCAGAGATTAAGAACTTTTCTTTATCATTTTTCTGCAATTCTTGTAATATGGCCAAGATCCACAAACATTCTTTTACAAATAGTAGCTCAGTTACCTCACACCCATTCGAGCTTATTCACTCGGACGTATGGGGGCCGGCACCTATTGCTTCTTTACATGGTTTTCGATACTATGTTATATTTGTGGACGACTATACTATATACTCTTGGCTGTACTTCATGCACTCAAAACATGAAACGCTTACAAAATTTAAATTGTTTTGCAGCTTCATACAAAATCTACATAGCTCCTCTCCTAAAATTTTTAGATCCGATGGCGGAGGGGAATTCACAAGCCTCGCGTTTAAATCCTACCTCCAGGACCACAGTATTCTACACCATATAAGCTTTCCTCACACACCCAAACATAACGGCCTTGCGGAAAGGAAGCACATGCATCTCCTTGACATAACTCGCGCCTTGCTGCATACCTCTCACCTTCCAGATCAATTCTGGGCGGATGCGTTGGTCACCGCAAACTACATGATAAATCTTCTTCCCTCCAAATCCTTTAATAACAATTCTCCTCATAAAGCAATGTACAACAAACCTCCTTCCTACTTACATCTTCGCTCGTTTGGATGCCTTTGTTATCCGTGGTTAAAACCATACACAACAAATAAACTTTAACCCCGATCTCAACAATGTGTCTTCATCGGTTACTCACCGCATCACAAGGGCTACAAATATTACAACTTGTACAACCACAAAACTTATCTCTCCTGTCACATTATCTTTTATGAAACTACTTATCCCTACAATAGAACGCATCAAAACAACCCTCCAACTGAGACCACTACCCAGCAATCCATTTACCCTAAAATTCTGGTCCCGGTTTCCACAATTCCTCCCAGACACACTCCAGAAAACTTCTCAACTAATTCTCCAAACACTCACAACATAACTCAACCGACCGTCACCATTCCAAACTCTCCTCATCTCACCTCTCATAACAAGCCTTACATTCACCTCGATCAACCGCGACCGCCTCAATCCCATCCTATGCTAACCAGATCAAAAGCCAGAATATTCAAGCATAAGCAAATCCTCAGCCTCAACTGCTCAGCCGATCCAAATTCTACTCCACTGACTTATAAACAGGCGTCCAAGTATACACATTGGCAGACCGCAATGCAAGAAGAAATAACGCTCTCCACAACCAACACACTTGGTCTCTCGTACCCGTTCCTCCAAACAAACCTATTCTCGGTTGCAAGTGGACTTATAAAACCAAAGTTCATCCCACGGGTAAGCTTGATCATTACAAAGCAAGACTAGTAGCTCTTGGCTACAATCAAACATACGGAGAAAACTACACTGAAACGTTCAGTCCTGTTGCAAAGATGCCTACCATACGTATACTCCTCACCCTGGCCGTAATTCGCAATTAGAAAATGCTCCAACTAGATGTTTCCAATGCCTTTCTCCACGGCGATCTACCCGACGACATTTACATGCGCCAACCACCCAGATTTGAGGATACAAGTCAAGCAAACCTCGTCTGCAAATTACACAAATCTCTCTACGGCCTCAAACAGGCACCACGACAATGGTTCCAGAAATTTACAAGTTTTCTGCAATCCCGTGGTTTCGGGTTCAGTCGATCCGACCCCTCTCTTCTCATCTTTTCCAAAAATCACATTCTAATATATCTCTTAATCTATGTCGATGATATTCTTGTGACAAGTAACGATCCATCAAGCATTCAATCTCTGCTCGATGACCTGCACTCCAACTTCGCTCTCAAGCAGCTCGGACAAATTTCCCTATTCCTCGGCATTCAAGTTCTACAAACCTCAAATGGGTTCTTTCTAACTCAAGAACACTATGCCAATAAGCCGATCCAGGAAGCCGGGTTTTAGAAATGCAAGGCTGCACCAACACCCATCGTTCCCGCCTCTACAAACAGACAAATCATCATTGAATCCTTTCATGATCCTCAGCTATATCGTCGGCTTGCAGGATCACTGCAATATCTCTCTATAACTCGACCAGACATAGCCTTTGCAACCAATCGGGCTTGTCAACATATGCAACAACCAACGACTGAAGATTTCCAAAACCTGAAACATATTCTTCGCTACGTTAAAGGTACTTCACACTTCGGTCTTCCGATCATAACAGGAGATGTTCAACTACAAAACTTCACAGGTGAGGATTGGGCATCAGACTAGTCCGACCAGAAGTCTGTTTTCGGTTACTACACTTTTCTAGGACCAAATTTGATATCCTGGTCCGTCAAGAAAAAAGCAACAGTCGCCAAGTCATCCACAGAGGCCTAGTATAGGGCTTTATCCGCAACTGCATCAGAGGTTTTGTGGCTCCGACATCTCTCCGCCGAACTCAAACTCGATCAAACAGCACCTACAATGATTCACTACGACAATGTATCCGCTATCGCCATTGCCAAGAATCCCGTCTTTCACGTAAGGACAAAGCACATCTAGATCGACTATCATTTTATCAGACAGCACATTTCCTCAGGCGATATCCATATTCAACATATGCCCTCTCAAGAACAAATTGCTGATATCTAAACTAAACCGTTTGCTTCTACTCGTTTTAATTACCTTCGCTCCAAATTATCCATTCGATCCACGAATGCCTAATTTGAGGGAGACTATAAGCATATGGTTCAGTCACATATTGTATTTACCTATTTTACCAAACTCTGTCTATATATACACATTGTATCTCTCAGAATTAATACACAGTTTTACATTTCTTTATTACGTTTTATCTCTCTTCCCTCTGCTCTGTTCCGTCTCCAGCGGAACTCCTCCTTCTCCTCTAAACTCTTCTCAGGATCCACCTAAAATCTTTTTATATACCATCAAAACAAGTGATGGTAATAGTAGATTATGATTAACTTAAATCTCAAATTGCATAAGGGCAATTCATTATCTTAAATTCATGAAACACATGCTATGGGCTTTGACTGATATTTTTTTCCACGAACACACACACTCTCTCTCTAGAGAGAGAGAGAGAGAGAGAGAGAGAGAGAGAGAGAGAGAGAGAGACCATCAATTTGAAGAGTTCATTGAAGCTAATTCATTTTGGTAAAATCTACCTTAATCCATAGTTATGATTTGTGAATTTTCATTTTACAATTACTTTAGGGTAAGTTTTATTTTAAGCCTTTCATTGAGCATAATCACAATCAAGTTTGTATGGATTGTAATTAAGAGGTTTTGGAATGTAAAAAATATTTGGTTCACCTCCAGAGTTTCATGAAGTAAAACAATACGTCATGTTGCATTGACCAGATATGTGGGTGTGCTAGACTTAGCTTTTTTTTTTTTGCAATTAAAATTTGATTTAACGAGGCAAATTTTGATTAGCAAGAGTCCTAGCTAGTATAAATGCTTAAAATTGTATGCACACATAAAAACATTGTTAATTAGTGAATGAATTATATTAAAGTAAGCAAAGTTGGGTTGATTAAAATCTCATTAGCTACATTTAGATAAATATATGATGTTGGAGGAAATCTTGCAACTTTGGGAGCTCAATTGATGCATGATCATTATTTTTAGGATGTAGATATCATTAATATCATTAGGGATTCCATGATTACTATGAAGGATAAGAGAGTTAGAAGATTGTATATATTGTAGGATTAAATTTCAAGGATTACTCTTATTATTTATTTAATCATGTTAAAATATTATATTCTAGAAGTAGAGTAGAGTTATCATGTATGCTATAGGAAAGTTCTTGAACAAGTTAAGGTACAAGATAATAGGATGATTTTAATACTAATGCTAGGTCATACCATTACGACATTTAGAGTGAGAGATGGTCATTTAAGAAGGAAAAATGTCTCTCAAAACTAATCAATTAATATGAAATTTTAACTAGATGTGATTACATGGAGCTAAGCTCTTCAGGGTTGAAAGAGTTGAGAGAGGTTGCTTAGGAGCAAAGACATAGAAGAGACCCGGTTCGATGGGCGAGGAGAAATTATTAAGCTGGCTAATCTTGTTCCATAATTACCTTTACCTTATGTTATGTGATTTATGTCTATAATAGAAATAATATGTGGACATCACTTGATTTGGATCATGATTATAATGACTAATAAATGATGGGTTGACTTTGATCAGTGCATTATTATGAATCATGTGCATATGCTCTTATGGTTGTATGCTTTCCTTCTCATGATCTATGAAGAAAGCCCAACAAATATAAGATGTATGTTTGAAGCTTGAAAATCTCTTTATTTTTCATATATAATTTTGGTGGTATTGTTCTTGCCCAATTAAAAAAAAAAAGAAAAGAAATAAGCAACAAAAGTTGATTAAGACTTCGTTTGAGATGTTTTTTTACTGCTTCTTAAAGCAGCTTTTTAATATCAAAATTACATTTTTTGTACTAAAAAACTGCTTTAAGAAACAATAAAAAAGCCGTCCCAAATGAAGTGTAAGACATGGTTTG